ACACACACACACACACAGACAAGCTCACTCACTGGCAGACACACACACACAGACACACAGACAAGCTTACTCACTAGCAGACACACAGACACAGACAAGCTTACTCACTGGCAGACACACACACACAGACACACAGACAAGCTCACTCACTAGCAGACACACACACAGACAAGCTCACTCACTGGCAGACACACACACACAGACAAGCTCACTCACACACACAGACACACAGACAAGCTCACTCACTAGCAGACACACACACACACACAGACAAGCTCACTCACACACACACACACACACACACACAGACAAGCTTGCTCACTCACTAGCAGACACAGACACACAATCACTGTCCTGGCTGAAGCTTACCTGGTAGGTGAAGTTTCCCTTTTGTAGCCTCTTCCTTCCGGCGAGCAACGTGTGGGGGGCGGGGCTTGCGCGGGGAGGCGGGGCTATGTTAAGGAGGTGGGGCTTGTGTGCGGAGGCGGGGCATGCGGCCGAAATTAAGGTAAATTGTGCCGGGAGACTGACAGGGCTGATCAGGGCTGTCAGACCGGCCCCAGGTGCCGCGGCCCACCGGGAATTTTCCCGGTATCCCGGTGGGCCAGTCCGGCCCTGTCCACACAGCCATTCTGACCAACTAAACTCTACCGAAACAGCCTGTATTCTCTTCTAAACTCTATCCAGCCTGCCAGTGTGCCCTTCAATACTTTATTTATCCAGCCAGTCTGCATTTCAATACTTTATCCATCCAGCCAGTCTGCCAGTGTGCTTTTCAATAATTTATCTATCCAGCTAGCCGGACTGCCCATAAAAAATAAATCTATACTTACAGTCTATCTATGCTACTCTCACCCAGCCCGTCTCCACTGCCTCTGTATAGTTTCCTCACCCAGCCTGTCTCTCCATGCTTCCCTCACCCAGCTAGCCTCCCTTGTTTCTCCATGGTTTCCTCACCCAGCCTGTCTCCCGTCTCTCCATGCTTCATTCACCCAGTGTCATGACTACTAATGTGAGCCAACACGCAAAACTATGTAACATCCACATAGAATAGAAAAATAGACGTAAACCGGTCCTTAGAATGGCCGGATTAATACATTGAAAGACAGAGAATGGTCAAGGAAAAGCCGAGGTCAAAGAAATACACAAGATCGATAAGAAAGCCAAGTCAGAGAAACCAGAGTTCAGTATAAATCAAGATTAGCCAAAGTCAGAATACTGGGAATATCAATAACAAGGACAAGAAAATGCACTCTCTGAACTTGTCTCCCCTGTCTCTCCATACTTCCCTTAATCTTCCCGTATGTAACGGATCCCCTATACTCCGTCTAAATATATATCTGTTATAAGTCTCCCAAGTCACAAGTGATGCAGTGAATATAGCTCCCAGTTCCCCAAACATCAGCCTAGACTAGATGAAGGGTAAAACTAATCTGTTTAATCCAGATTTAATGGCTTGCTTTTATACAATAAAGGAATACAGTGAACACGCCCATGACACTCCCATAAACACATCCACAAAATGTCCCCAAAATGTCATGTCACCATAAAACGACAAATTATAGAAAGTAATACATATTTCACATAAAGGAATCCCCATAGTTTATACATCCTTGGATAGCCTGGATTTGAGCACCCAACATATCCGAAAATCACTCAGATCCCATGAACACAGCTGAAACGCCACTGGGGGAAAGTTGTGACTGGCCGAACACATGGTCCTATACCCAAAACAGTTCCAGGGCCTTTTGTGCTTTTGCTCTTCAACTTCAGGCGTTCCATGAGGAAGAAATACTGAACACACACTCTGGCTGGTTGGTAGTGTTTGTTCGTATGGTTCATATGAACAAAACTACCGAATGACACTCTCCTGACGTGTGGGAAGGAAGCAGGCGTTTGTCAAAGTTCAGCGGTGTTCGGGAGTTTTTGTGTCTGATTTTAGTTCCATGTGATCGATGCCCAAACACCGCTGACTGCATTCCCACGAACAAGATGGCCGCCAACTCTGTTCCCACGTGTTCGTGCATACGAACGGCAGCCACACAGCAGCATAACTAGAACACATGATAACTGAAGTGTCAGGAGAGGTTACCAGGGGTGACAAGCCCAGAGGTGGTCCGCAGTTCGTGAGTTTGTTCGGTTCCTGAACAGTACAAAAAAATCCCACAAACCAAGTCTTTTTACCAGGCTTTTCTATGGCCCATAGTCAGTGGGCAGGAGGCTAGCCTCCATACTCCTCCAGGAGCTTGTGGCAAATGTCCAGGCAATGGGGGGGTTTGTCACATATCTCCTCCCTCCTGGGGAGACTAACCAGACCCTAGACCTCCAATCGGTTTGGGTCTGTGTTAGTCTGGTGTCTTTTCCCAGACTGTGCAGTGCCCCAGAAGGCCTACTGCCACACACTCCAAGGTATCACTCCAGGGTTTTTCTGGGCAGGGCAACAGCTAGAATCCACTCCTGCGCATCGCATGTTTGCTGAAGGGGAAAGGGTGCAATTCTCCCCTCTCAGAGATGTTCAGAGCCCTTGGGGAGGGAGACAGAAGGCACCATCTCCTGGACACTCGCTCTGCGGAAGGTGCAAAATCGGGGTGGCTTGGGCTCCTCTAAGGAGCTGAGGACCTTGGCTGGCTGCCCAGCATCCCTGTACTCCAGGGGTGGAGACCATGGTCCCATCCACCCCTCCCGTTCCCAAAGTCTCGGGTACTTGTGGACAGAGACCATCGGTGCTCTGCCCTGAGGCCAGCTCTACTGCTGGATCGACACCCGGCTGCTGGGGAGAGAGACCAACTGTCTCTACCACCTGGTACTCCTGCTGCGGTTGGGGATCTAGGAAGGCTGCTTAGCATCCATGTCGGGTTGGTGCAGAGACTTCGGTCCCATCTGTACCATCCGCTCCAATAGTCCTGTCTCCTGATAACAAGCACTGCCGCTGGGGAGAGGAACCGGTTGTCTCCTCTCCTTTAAACCATACTGCTGCTGGGGAGTCGGACCGACTGTCGCGACACCCAGTAACACTGGCTGGTGCTGGTTAGTGGGAATGACCATCTCCACTCCCAGTGCTACTGGGATGAGGGACCTACAATCCCCTCTCCCAGTAATGCTGGTTGTCTCTTCTCCTTTTAAATCCTGCTGCCGCTGGGGAGTCAGACCGACTGTCTCGACTCCCGGTAACGCTGCCTGGTGCTGGGTAGTGGGATCGACCGTCTCCACTCCCAGGGATGTTTGCTGCTGCTGGCACAACATACCCATGACACTGCCATAAACACACCCACAAAATGTCATGTCACCATGACTAAGCATAAAATGACAAATTATAGAAAACACACCAAAATACATATTTCGCATAGAGGAACCCTAATAGTTTATACATCCCCAGATAGCCTTGATCTGAGCGCCCAACGTAGCCGAAAAGCGCTCAGATCCCATGAACATAGCTGAAACGCCACAGGGGTGAAGTTCTGACCTGCCGAACACACATGGTCCTACGCCCAAAACAGTTTCAGGGTGTTTTGTGCTTTTGCCGGTCAACTTCGGAAGTTCCATGCGAAAGAAATACTGAACGCAGACTCTGGCTGGTTGGTAGCATTTGTTTGTATGGTTCATATGAACAAACCTATCGAGTGGTGCTCTCCTGACATTTGTGGCAGGAAGAAGGCGTTTGTCAAAGTTCAGTGGTGTTCGGGAGTTTTCATGTCCGATTTTAGTTCAATGCGATCGACACCACTGAACTGCATTCCCGCGAACGTGCATACGAAAGGTGGCCACCCAGTCGCACAATTAAAACACATGATAATTGAAGTGTCAGGAGAGATTACCAGGGGTTAACAAGCCCATAGGTGGTCCCCAGTTCGTGAGTTTGTTCGGTTTCCGAACAGTACAAATGAATCCGACGAACCAAGTATTTTTACCAGCCTTTTCTATAGCCCATAATCAGTGGGTAGGAGGCTAGCCTCCACACTTCTCCAGTAGCCCGTGGCGAATGTCCAGACAAAGGGGCGTTCGTCACACTGTCTTTCTATGGTTACCTCACCCTGCCTGTATTTCCATGGTTCCCTCACCCTGCCTGTCTTCCCATGGTTCCCTCACCTAGACTGTCTCCCATGGTTTCCTCACCTAGTCTGTCTCCCCTGGCTCTCCATGGTTCCCTCACCCTGCCTATCTTTCCATGGTTCCCCCACCTAGCCTGTCTCCCCTGCCTATCCATGCTTCCCTTGCTCAGCCTGTCTCCCCTTTCTCTCCATGCTTCTATCACACAGCTTGTCTCCCCTGTCTCTCCATGGTTCCCTCACCCTTCCTGTCTTTCTATGGTTCCCTCACTCAGCCTGTCCCCACATCATCTACATGGTTTCACCTGTCTTTCTATGGTTCCCTTAATGTCTCTTATGGTTCCCTCACCCTTACTGTCTCTCCATGGCTACCTAACCCTTACTGTCTCTCATGGTTCCCTCACCCAGCCTGTCTCCCCATAGTTCCCTCACTCAGGCTGTCTCTCCATGGTTCCCTCACACAGCCTCTCTCTCCATGGTTACCTCACCCAGCCTAACTCTCCATGGTTCCCTCACTCAGCCTGTCTCTCCATGGTTCCCTCACTCTGGCTGTCTCTCCATGGTTCCCTCACCCAGCCTGTCTCTCCATGGTGTCCTCACCCAGCCTGTCTCTCCATGGTGTCCTCACCCAGCCTGTCTCTCCATGGTTCCCTCACTCAGCCTGTCTCTCCATGGTTCCCTCACTCAGGCTGTCTCTCCATGGTTCTCTCACTCAGCCTGTCTCTCCATGGTTCCCTGGCTGTCTCTCCATTGTTCCTTGGCTGTCTCTCCATGGTTCCCTCACTCAGCCTGTCTCTCCATGGTGTCCTCACCCAGCCTGTCTCTCCATGGTGTCCTCACCCAGCCTGTCTCTCCATGGTTCCCTCACTCAGCCTGTCTCTCCATGGTTCCCTCACCCAGCCTGTCTCTCCATGGTTCCCTCGCTCAGCCTGTCTCTCCATGGTTCCCTGGCTGTCTCTCCATTGTTCCTTGGCTGTCTCTCCATGGTTCCCTCACTCAGCCTGTCTCTCCATGGTTCCCTCACCCAGCCTGTCTCTCCATGGTTCCCTCACCCAGTCTGTCTCTCCATGGTTCCCTCACTCAGCCTGTCTCTCCATGGTTCCCTCACCCAGCCTGTCTCTCCATGGTTCCCTCGCTCATCCTGTCTCTCCATGGTTCCCTAGCTCAGCCTGTCTCTCCATGGTTCCCTGGCTGTCTCTCCATGGTTCCCTCACTCAGCCTGTCTCTCCATGGTTCCCTCACTCAGCCTGTCTCTCCATGGTTCCCTCGCCCAGTCTGTCTCTCTATGGTTCCCTCACTCAGCCTGTCTCTCCATGGTTCCCTCGCCCAGTCTGTCTCTCCATGGTTCCCTAGCTCAGCCTGTCTCTCCATGGTTCCCTAGCTCAGCCTGTCTCTCCATGGTTCCCTCGCTCAGCCTGTCTCTCCATGGTTCCCTCGCTCAGCCTCTCTCTCCATGGTTCCCTCGCTCAGCCTCTCTCTCCATGGTTCCCTCGCCCAGCCTGTCTCTCCATGGTTCCCTCACCCAGTCTGTCTCTCCATGGTTCCCTCGCTCAGCCTGTCTCTCCATGGTTCCCTCGCTCAGCCTGTCTCTCCATGGTTCCCTCACTCAGCCTGTCTCTCCATGGTTCCTGGCTGTCTCTCCATAGTTCCCTCACTCAGCCTGTCTCTCCGCTTTCCCTCCGCTCAGCCTGTCTCTCATTGTTCCCTGGCTGTCTCTCCATGGTTCCCTATCAGCCTGTCTCTCCATGGTTCCCTCACTCGGCTGTCCATGGTTCACTCACTCAGCCTGTCTCTCCGCCCTCACTCAGCCTGTCTCTCCATGGTTTCCCTCACTCAGCCTGTCTCTCCATGGTTCCCTGGCTTCCCGTCTCCATGGTTCCCTCACCAGCCTGTCTCCATGGTTTCCACTCAACCCTAACTCAGCCTGTCTCTCCATGGTTCCCTCACTCTGGCTGTCTCTCCATGGTTCACTCACTCAGCCTGTCTCTCCATGGTTCCCTCACTCAGCCTGTCTCTCCATGGTTCCCTCACTCAGCCTGTCTCTCCATGGTTCCCTCACCCAGCCTGTCTCTCCATGGTTCCCTCACCCAGCCTGTCTCTCCATGGTTCCCTCACTCAGCCTGTCTCTCCATGGTTCCCTCACTCAGGCTGTCTCTCCATGGTTCCCTCACCCAGCCTGTCTCTCCATGGTTCCCTCACTCAGCCTGTCTCTCCATGGTTCCCTGGCTGGCTGTCTCTCCATGGTTCCCTCACTCAGCCTGTCTCTCCATGGTTCCCTCGCTCAGCCTGTCTCTCCATGGTTCCCTCGCTCAGCCTGTCTCTCCATGGTTCCCTCACTCAGCCTGTCTCTCCATGGTTCCCTCACTCAGCCTGTCTCTCCATGGTTCCCTCACTCAGCCTGTCTCTCCATGGTTCCCTCACCCAGCCTGTCTCTCCATGGTTCCCTCACCCAGCCTGTCTCTCCATGGTTCCCTCACTCAGCCTGTCTCTCCATGGTTCCCTCACTCAGGCTGTCTCTCCATGGTTCCCTCACCCAGCCTGTCTCTCCATGGTTCCCTGGCTGGCTGTCTCTCCATGGTTCCCTCACTCAGCCTGTCTCTCCATGGTTCCCTCACTCAGCCTGTCTCTCCATGGTTCCCTGGCTGTCTCTCCATGGTTCCCTCACTCAGCCTGTCTCTCCATGGTTCCCTCACCCAGCCTGTCTCTCCATGGTTCCCTCACCCAGCCTGTCTCTCCATGGTTCCCTCACTCAGCCTGTCTCTCCATGGTTCCCTCACTCAGGCTGTCTCTCCATGGTTCCCTCACCCAGCCTGTCTCTCCATGGTTCCCTCACTCAGCCTGTCTC